CTCTCGCGCAGGAAGCACTCCTTGCGGGGGGTTCAAGTGGGGGCGCGCTCGCAATCTCGACGCCGAGGAGGCGCACTGCGCCCCCGTGTGCCCCATGGTCGAAGACGACAGCTACGGACTCGACTCTGACGAAAACGGTCGATGCGTTGAACTGTGCTCAACGACAGAGATGTCAAAGGCAGTCTTGTCCGAGCAGCAACGCGCGTTGTTAGACGCCGACCGGGCGACCGCCATGCGAGCGCATGACACTGCCGCTGCAAAGCGAGCCGCGGTCGTCAAGGAAGACGATCTCCTTGCCAAAGCTGACGTCCAAGCAAATCCCGAGAAAATAGCGAAGGCCCTTTTCACTGAGCTCAAGACATGGTTCGACCGTGAGTGCTTGGAAATGCAGGAGATAACCGAGGCGTCGAACATCGTGATTTCGAGAAATGCATACACATGGAAGTTCGCGAAAAACGAAAAGGGTGAGATGGAGCGCACCATCCGGCTTCGCTTGGTACTTCGAGGCCGCAGGGGCCCCGAAGTTTTCGACGTAGAAACATATTCGGGAACAGCCAGAAGGTCAAGCCAGAGGTTACTTGACAGCGCGGCCGCGTGCAAGGAGCAGTGGATCATTGATTCCCTGGACATCAACATGGCCTTCCTGAAGGGATTGGCCATTTCGGGAACTCGCTGTGGCAACTGGTGGAAAGGAGCGCGCGGCGTGCTTGACCTTGCCGCCTGGATCGGCAACTGCGCTCCGCGCTCTTCCAGGGTTTGAGAACTACGACGAGTCAAAGCACTGTTCGCAGCGCTTGAAACCGGGCGCAGGCACTAGGGACGCCCCACGGGCTTGCTCACTTAAGCTCAGGAGAACCACCAGAGGATTCGGCCTCCGACCTACGTCTTACGACGAGGAGTTCTAGACGAGCAGCAACTTGCTCACGGCCAAGCATGTTGATGACGTTAACATGGCCGGCACTGAGGACACCATTGACAAGTGTGCCAAATGTGTTGAGGATACTTTTGGTAAGTGTAAACTCAACAAGCACACGTGCACGAACTGCGCTGTGGGATATACCGAGGATGAGGACGATAATGTCACTCTGGATCAAGATGAATGTATCAAACTGCTCCGCCCTATAAAGCACCCTGGATTGACCGGTGCTGACGCTGGCGCTCAAGCGACCAAGATGGTCGCGGATATGTTTGTCAGCCTCAGAGGTGCGCTGGCATACGCACTGATCACCCAGATATGGTTGATGGTATATGTTGCATCTCCACAGCGTGTCCAAGAACCGACCAATATTCAAGCGCGACGACTGAATGTGGTCACCAGAAAGCTACAGGCCTGCCCGAAGAAGATCGTCTACCAGGCGATGAACCCCACGGGTGAGGCCGACTTACATGGCGACTCAGGCTATCGACGCCTGAGTGGAGACGCCGACGACGACACCAAACTCAATGGCATTCGCGGGGCAAGCCTGCTACGACGTGGAAACACGTCATTTGGCAAGCCTGTCGTTCACTTGATTGTTGCGTGCTGCAAGTCTCACCGCTTGCAAGTCCGCTCAAGCTACTCAGCAGAGACATTTGCAGCAACCCATAATTTGGAGGACTGTTATCCCACGATTGTGACTCTGCACGAGCTCCACACGGGGCCACTTACGCCCACTCAGTTGAAAGACATACGTGAGTTGGGTGGCCTAAGCATCAAAGTCACCTTGACCATTGATGCGGAGTCTGTCTTTAAGTCCTTGTCAAGCAAAGACTTGAAGAAGCCGACTGAGTGTACCCTCTTAGGACACATAAGTTGGATACGACGGATGATGGAGCGCGGAATCGTGCATAGCATTCAGTGGTGTGATTCCCGCGACATGACTGCGGATGGACACACCAAGGGGGGCATCGACAGAGAGATGCTCCTACAAGTGATGGGAGATATACACACCTTCAAAAATGATTCAAAAAGACACACTCCATATCAGGCCGGCCAGACAAGAAGCTCTGAGGCCGCCTGAGGAATACATTATTTATGCGAGGCAACTTGCTGGCGGGTCCAACTCCTTTGGGCCTGTTTCTTTTCTTGTCTTCATATAGGTTAACTGCTGAACTGTTTCTGCAATGCGGGTGGCGGACGCACGCTTCGTCTCCCTCCCCCCCCCGACTCTAAAGCGAACTGGGGGGCGTAAGGAGTGGAAGCGAGCGTGCGCCCGCGGCCGCCTTGGCTCAAAGCGGCAGGCCGCCCAGATTTGACTGTGCCTCACCGCGAGGCACATTTTCGCTATCGATACTAAAAGGCAACCCTTTTTACTTGACCTGGCATCCCCTCTTGCATTGGGACTATCGCTACTACGATACAACCGAGCTGGAGCTCGGCTTCGCCTGGGGCGAAGCTGTCGGCTGGGCATCCCAGCCCCCATCAAACTGTTGGACCATCTTGGAGGCCATCTTGGGCCACGTGGCCATCTTGGAGGCCATTTTGACCCGTCTTGGATTTTTTTTTGCGGACGTTGACGTCGTTTCTCGGCCTGGGCACTCCTTCCGGGACCCCGGCGGGACGGGCCGAAGCCCCAGGGGGAATTCTTTCGGAAAAAGAACCAAAACCAACACCGAAATAATTTGTCACGCCCCTGCGATGAATCGACAGGGGGCGGCGGATCCAGTGGCCTGTGGCCCATCCCGCCACCGTGCCTAGGTTGTAAGTCAGAGACCTCTTGGCGCCCTCTTGGCCCATCTTCAGGTGCTCGTGGGCCCGACAATGTCACGCGGGAAGACGTTCCACGCGCGTCAGGAGCCCCAGGATATTTGAGAGTGTTGTGTCCGGGCCCCTCCAATATGTTCAGGATTGAGGATGAAAAGGCTAAGGGGATTGAGCAAGGGACCTGAGGTCACTCCAAGTCGTGCTTCGCAGGCACGCTTCGCCCTGGCGGATCTGCCCCAGTCTGGCTTTCTCCGGGGCTCAATCCAGGAGCGATTTCGGACATGATCGGGGCTTCATCCTGACTCGGGGCTTCATGGCCCTCAGTCGCTGTTACGAAGAACTCCCAGGAGTTGCCTCTTAACTTGTTCCCTCCCGCTCCCCCGTTCCTTCTGCCTTCCCTCCCTCCCTTCCCTCATCCTCCGCCCGTCCCCACTGCTCCTCTCGCTCACGCTTCCGCTCCCCTGCCAGGCGCCCGTGCCACGCCCGCACGCCGCAGGGTGCAGGGCGCAGGGTCGGCCGGATTCGGCCTTGCAGCAGTCGGCGCACCGTTTGGCTCGAATTTCCCACCCCGAGAGCCCAAGGGGCGCACCCGTTCGATCTGGCCGCCCACCCCTCTGCACGTCTGCAGGGAGAGGGGCGCCCGGCCCTGAGCTGACCCGAGCTTGCATGGGGCACCAGGCCCTCTTGGCACAGGCAGTGGACAGGGGGAGCGACGGAATGGCGGAGCTAGGGGGGATGGCAGGGGAGAGGAGGGAGGGGGCAGCGGGTGAGGGCAAGCTGGGCGCGCCCGCGCCATACCTGCCACTCTGCCCTTCCCATCCACCCCTTCTCACTGCGCTGGTTTCGTCTGTGTATCCGTGGCGCGTGCAAGGGGACCTTGATTTCCCAACTGACCCCATCGTGTGATGCGCAGTCAGAAAGAGGGGGGCGGATGGCACATTGCAGCATGATGTGGCCGATGAGCCGGGGTTGAGCAGGAGGCAGGAGCATGAGCAGCACGATGAGGGTGGAGGATGATGAACAGGATAATCAGCAGGAGCAGGACCAGCAGGAGAAGGAGCATGAGCATTAGCGGAAGGAGGAGGAACAGGAGGATGAGGAGGAGGAGGAGGAGGAGGAGGAGGAGGAGGAGGAGGAGGAGGAGGAGGGGGGAGGGGGGCGGCAACGACGAGGAAGAAATCTGATCCAGAAATGCAGCCCGCGCCTGGGCGAGAGCGCCATTCTGAACGACGGGAGCTCACCACCGATCTTGGAATGTGGCCAACGCTGCAGCGTGCTCGAACACCTTAGAACAAACACGCGAAGGAGGTGTGCGCACACGCGAGCACTGCCAGGGGAGAAAGGAGAGTCGTACTTAGAGTGAGAAGTTGTGGAGAGAGGAATGGAGCCCAGACGTGTGCGGCTTTGATTTTTCAATGTCCGTGGACGCCCTGACCCTTTCACAGGGCCTGTTTGTCATCATGAGTCGTCTCTTGACGGTCCCGCGGCCCAGCAAGAGCCAATTGGAGGCCGAAAACGGGGAGATACCTCCGTGCTGAGTTTGTTGTTGTTCAGGACGCTGGATGCCTGGGAGGGGTCGGGATGGGAAAGTGCAGCGTGGACTCTTCTCCAGGACTCCTCCTTCGAAGGGAAGGGCGCCAGGCGGGGCCCAGACCGTCCTCGCCCTGCATCTTGAGGGGCTGGCCCCCAGAGCTCGCAGCAACCCTGGCGCCTTCGAGCCAGTCGAACATGCGCGGAACGAGTGGAGTGCTGCAAGGGAGGCGACGTCTCGCCCCCGAAGCCCCGAGCTCCCAGGACAAAAAACATCGTATGTCTCCAAGTCGGGCCCCAACCTTTCTCGGCCAGTCAAACTTCCGTCTTGGTCGGGGAGTGGATTCGACATACCTCTTGCTGCAAGCCGAGCCCGCATGCGCCAAGACAGCCACCCTGGGCAGGACCCTCTACGGTCAGCGACGACCCTGAGCGCTCTGGCCGATCCAGGGGCCCCTCCTGGCGCCCCCAGCGGCCGGGGCATCAAGAGGTTGAACATCGTATTCTTAGCCGCCAGGAATAGGAGGAACCAGAAGAGGAGCAGTAGCAGGAGCATGAACAGAACAGGAGGAGGAGGAGGAGGAGGAGGAGGAGGAGGGAAGGTGGAGGAGGGGGAGGAGGAGGAGGAGGAGGAGGAGGAGGAGGAGGAGGAGGAGGAGGAGGAGGAGGAGGAGGAGGAGGAGGGGAGGAGGAGGAGGGAGGAGGAGGAGGAGGAGGAGGAGGAGGAGGACGTCGAGAAGGTTGAAGAGGGGTGGGGCGACAAGCGCAGGGCAGAGGCCGGCCCGAGGCCACGGTGTCCAAGGAGGGTGTCGTGCGCAGCTTCGCCCTCGAGTCCCTGCAGACGCTGTCCTCCTTCAAAGCAGGCGGGGGCCTCGGTGTCGGGTGAGGAGCAGGAGGATGAGGAGGAGTGCCCCCCCCCTGGCGATCCTGCTCCTTCGCTGCTTCTCAGTGGAGGGGGAACAGGTGGGGATGGCAGGCATCGGAGGGGGGTGCTGCCCTCCCTCCACCTCCAGGCGGGCCGCGGGCGCGCGGCGTGGCGAGCGCCGCATGGACGCAACGGCGCGGGTGCGCCCACGCGAGCGCAGCAGCAGGAGGAGGGGCCACGGTGTTTGTGGCTCGGTCGGTCGGTCCGGCTGCGTCGCAGTCGGTTGCGTTCGGTTCGGCTCGGTTCGGTTCTCTCATCGTGTCGTTGCCGCGACGTTGGGTTTTTCTGGGCTGCTTCCGGCCCGTCAAGCTCCATCGATTTCGGTTTCGCTGTCGGTTCGGGGTGCTTTCGGCTTTGCTGTCGCCGTGGACGGCCCTGAGTGTAGAGAAGGGAGATGAAGATGGGGGCGGGCAGCCAGATGGAAATATGAGGATCTCATATCCATCTGCCAGCCGCAAGGCCTGCCACCGTGCCAGGGTGGCGACTGTTCGATGAGGGGTACGGGAGGCCGTCACATACGACGCTTCGTGTTCCCAGGTTTGGGAGAGCCGTGATGAGGATGATGCGGATTATGAGAATGGTGCGGGTGATGATGACTGACAGGATAAGGAGGAAGCGGAGGAGGAGAGTGAGCAGGAGGAGGAGGAGGAGGAGGAGGAGAAGTCGGAGGACGAGGAAGGCCGTCACATTTGACACCTTTCGGCTCTCTTGGACCGTCTTGGGCGCCTTCGGGGGCTCTCTTGGGGCTCGCGGAGGACCACGGGCAGAGTAGCGGCCCACTGGAGAGACTTCAGGGAGGTTTTGACGAGGCCCTGGCAAATCTTGCCAGGCATTTTGACAGAGTAGCCTCGCAAGGCTCACACCGCAGGCGGCAGCGGCTGGATCGAGGTCGCCGGCGGCGCATCATCTGGAGCTCCCTAGGAGTTTGGCGAATTGGCGCGCAGCAGCGAGAGTCGTGGTGCAGCGCGCATGCCAGCTGTCCTTGCCGGGGTGCCTGAAGGATTCTTTGGAGGAGGCGGTTTTGGAGATGTTTTGGGGCCTCGCTGGGCCTCTTGGGGTCCTCTTGGGGCCTGACTTGGGCTTCTAGGGGGCCTCCAGGGGCCTCTGGGGAGCCCTTTAGGGCCTTAATGGCGGTCTCGGGTGTCACCGCGGGCCCCAAGGTGGCACCCGAGACCGCCATCAGGCATGGGATGGGGCCCAGGCCCTCTTGGGGCCGTCTTGGGCCTCTGTGGGGGCATTTGAGGTCGCCTTGGGCCCCTCAGGGCTTGTCTGGGGGCTCTCTCGAGGGCCTCTGGGGCTGTCTTGAGGAGATCTTGGAGAACTCTTGGACTGTGTTGGAGTGTCGGAGTCTGGAAGGGGCGAGACCGCTAGACTCCTTGGTAATCAACGGTTTTGGTTTCTGGGGCCCTCAAAACAAAAAATATGGTTATCGAGGGGCGAAGCCGCTAAAACCAATGTGTACTCAATGGTTTTGGCTTCTGGGGGCCCTCGTAGGAGTCCTCTTGGATGCCTTTTGGACGCCCCGAGGGCCTCGCAGGCTGTTTTCAAGCCATCGTGGGCCGTCTGGAAGCGATCTGGAAACATCTCGAGTCTGGAAGTGCTGCACGAGAATGGTCAGCATTTCGACCATCGCCGTTTATTCTCAAGTATTTGTCTACCTAAGGGTGGATGGCCGACCTCGCTGGCGCCGCGGCCGGCCGAGCTTGCGTTTGGGCGCAAGCGCCGCGGGCCAAGCCATCGGCACCTGGCCGGGTGCGCGCAGCGGTGGCGCGGAGAGCACTTGCATCTGCGAGGGCGGCGGTGTCGACTCTGGCTCGATCGCGCCGTTGCAAGGCAGGCGGATCGGCGCGGCCCCGAAAACCTTTCGAGGCCAGCGCCAGCGCCGCCTGCTGCGGCGGAGTGCGAGAGCGAGGGTTTCGGCACGCTCACACTCCTGCTGGTGTGCCTAGGCTCGTTCGTGCTGGGCCTATGGGTTCGTGACGCACGGCAGCAGCTGCCAAAGTCTCGCGAGGTCACAGCGACGATCGCAGACGGCGCCCATCGTGGAACACAAGAGGACCACGCTCGGACGTCTGCGGAAGTACCGGCGGGTCTTCGCTTATTACGATCGGGACGATGATAGCTGGCATGAGCGGTTCTTACTTGAGCAGCTGGGCCCAACGAGGTGGATCATCGTGACACCGCACTTCGATCTGTACGACGAGGAGTTGGCCGACGCCATCGACGTTCGCGAAGTTGGGCCTCGTGGCGGCGTCGGCGCCGTGTACGGCAATGTGCTGCGGATTGACATGGCCGAGTTTGGACGCCGTCAGGAGGAGCTGAAGGCCGCCGCCCTGACCTGCGCAGCGGAGATTCGGCGCGAGGAGGAACTGGCCCTGGTGGCTGCAGACGGCGACGCCGCGGAGGCTGGCGACGCTGCCGCTGCTGGGGAGCCTGGAGGCGAAGCCCGTGCCCGAGCGGCTTCGGCAGCGGGTCGCTTGGTTCCGCGCGGGACCTGGGTGGCCGTCGAGGTGCGGGCGGGCTGCCAGATTGGCGACGAGCTTGTGGACGCGAGGCCGGCTTTCGCGCTGGGGGATCGGGCCATCTTGGAGCTGGCCGACGGCAGTGTGCTGGCCGTCGGCGCACCTGGCTCCGTGAACATGCCGACGCCACGTGGGCCCCCGCAGGACGTGCGCACGCTGGCGGTGAACACCGATATGCTGGGCGAGAACAACCGCGCCTTTTTTCGGAGGCTGTGGATGTGATGAAGCCAGAGTCCACCCTGGCCGGCCCATCAGCGGGCCGCATATCTGTCAATGGTTGTTGTTACAGCTGGTGAGGCTCGGGTACACAGGCATGCAGCGCCTCTTGTGGTGGCGGCGGGTTCTTTCACTGACGCCTGACGATCCTGGGGTGGGCGAGCGTGCTTCCTTGAGTGAGTTGATCGATGTCGGGTGTCAATTGGACCGGGTGTGCTCGCCGAACCTTGCGTGCTACGAGATGGTCTATAGGCGGTGCCAGCTGCGGGGGGAAGTCTACAGCAACGCGCTAAAGGAGGCTGAGGGCGGCGCAGGCGCAGGCGGCAGCGGGTGGCTGGATCAGCGTGAAATCTTCCTTGGGCCGTCGTCAGGGCGCGGCTCGGCCCCGGTCGCTCCAGAGCTTAAGGAGTGGGTTACCGAGCGCCTTCAGAAGGGCGCCGCAGCGTTGAAAGAGAGGCGCAAGGTCAGGGAGGAGAAGCTGCTCTCGCAGGGGGTCTCGCTCGGGGGGGGCACTTTGCCTGCGCCGTATGCATATGCTGGCGCGTGGCCAGCCCCGCCCCCTGCAGTCTCGGGCCAGTCTCAGCTGCAGGTGCCGCCACTGCTGGGCGCGAAGGAGAAGAGGAAGGCCGCTGCCTGGCGGGGCAGGGCGACCTCCTTCGCCGTCTTTTACGCACGCGGTTGCGGCGACTAGTGGCCCCTGACCAGTTGCTGCTATTTCGCAGGGGAGGCGCCCGTGGACTACCCGGCACTGAGTTCTGCTCATGGACGATTGTCTTCCATCTCAGGACCCTCTTCCGATCCCACTCGACGCTGGGTTGGGCGCTGTATTTTTTGGGGCTCAGCCGCTCGGAGTTCCTACTTCAACCAGGCGCGGTGCAAAGCGCGATCGTCAAAACAGATGGCTACGATATGGGGCTCGCAGTTTAAATGCTCTGGGAGGTCAGGGGCGAGAAGTCCCCCATGTTGCGGTTCTGACAGGGGCCCAAGGCGCAGCTGCACGTCGCCTCGCAGGCTAGTACGGGTCGGTGAGCTTTCAAGATGAGTACCATGATTCACTTGCGGCGTGGACCACGTTGCAGGGGCTCCAGCCTGGCTGTCCCGAGTCAGAGTCGGAAGGTGGCAGGGCGGTCTACCAGTCAGGCAGGATTTCGCTGCCTGGTGGCGGTGCCGGGAAGGCGAAGCTGGATGTGACCCCCCCGAGACGTTGCGCCCGATGCTGGAGACTGGCCATGGACTTCTGCGTGATCCTTCTGAGGCTGCCTCGATGTTTGAATCTTAGATTGAGAACTTGCGCTACCTTGGCCCGAAGCCCTGTTTGAGCTGTTCGGCGCGGGCGTGATCGAGTTGGGCCCCGGAGACGCCATGGAGAAGATAGGCCAGTTTTCCGTGCGGCGCCATGATGACAAGCTGCGCTCGATCGCCGACACACGGGCTGCCAATGTACATTTTTGTGAGCCTAGCTGTACAGAGCTGGCAAGTTCCGGGGCCCTCACGGCCATTGAGCAATGCTCCGTTGACCTGGTCTGCTTCAACTCAGGAGATGTGGAGGTCTGCTTCAATCAGTGCGAGCTGCCACACTGGCTCAGATGCTTCTTCACGCTGCCTGCGCCGAAGGCCCAGTACCTGCCAGCGTCTTTACGGCGCCGCCTCGGATTGGTGCGCGACGCTCGCCTGGTGAAGTTCAGGTTCCGCGCGGTGCCGATGGGCTGGAGCTGGGCGGCGCGTCTCATCCAGCAGGGCCACTTGCGCGCGATGGATGCGGCGCTGAGCATCGGGCGCTGGGTTCTGGAGAAGCGGCCCGGGCATGACCTCGGCTCGGAGGATGCGAAGCAGCTCTGCATCGGTTACTTTGCTGCCGCCTCTGCGGGCCAGGGGCGCGCCGAGAGTGCTGCCCGCGCGATGCAGGAAGCGCTGGCAGAGCGAGGTGGTTTGCATTGTCGACGCAACCTCGGGGGTGAAGTCGGAGCTGCTGGGCTGCGATCTGAATGGGCGCGCTGGCAGGTGGCGGACCCGCCCTGAGCGTTTTCGGCGGCTGGCGGGGGCGCTGGACTTTCTGCTGGAGGCAAGGCGGCCTGAGGAGGTGGAGATCGCAGGCCTGGAGCTGGAGCGGCTGCTGGGGCACATCGCGGCGGCCTGCGTGCTGCGGCGGGGGTCGCTGGCAGTGATATCTGCTTGTTATACCTTTGCAGAGGCGTCAAGGGCTAAGCGGCGGCAGCCGTTGTGACCCAGTGCGCTGACGGAGCTGCGTTGGGCGCGGTCGCTGTTGCCTTGCATCGTGGGCGACGTGCGCCGGCGGTGGTCGCCCACCGTCACCGCCTACGACGCGCCCCCGCAGGGCTACGGCGTCGTCGGGGCGGAGTGGGAGGCTGCAGATGTGTCGGCGCATGGGGGACTGTCAGAGCGCAGCCGCTTCCGATGGCCGCTCGCCGCTGCCGGAGCGCCGCGGGACCGCGCGCTGGAGGCGGAGGTGGCCCAGGCGCCAGACGCCGCGCTGGCGCTCGCCGGCCGCGTCTCCGAGCTCCCCAGGGTGAGCCCCGCAGCCTTGGCGGGCATGGAGTGGCGCGTGGCAGGGTGCGGCCGCTGGCGACGCCGCGACGCCACCCATTGCCTGGAGGCTGCAGCAGTCAGCTGGGCGGTGCGCCGCGTGGCGAAGGATGCGCGGCGACGCGGTCTGCATCGCCTTGTGCTCGGGAATAACATGTCAGTTACGTTAGCGCTTGCGAAAGGCAGAGCTCCTCACCATCGTCTCCTCCTGACTTGTCGGATTGTTTTCGCGCTCAGTGTTGTGGCAGACATCAGAGTACACAGTCGGTGGATCCCCAGTGACGAGGCCCCCCGTCGGTATCAGCCGCTTGGGCTCAAGGGGAAGTTCGAGCGGGGGCGGGCGCTGACGGGGCAGACGCTTGTGCCGCCCGCCACTTGGAGTTCAGGCTCAGGCCAGACCGCCGTGAGGTCCTCGCGCTCCCGCTCGGCCAGGCGGCCAGCCCCTGCCCCCTGCCGCGCCGCTGCCGGGGTGCCGACGCTAGGGCGCGCGCAGCCACGCAGCTTGCGCGGGCCGCGCGCCGATCGTGTCGACCTGGAGCTGCGGGCGCTGGTGGAGGCCGAGCGGCAGCACTCTGTCCCAGGCTGACACGCTGGGCGGCGGAGAAGGTGCGGGTGAAGGCCCAGAGCGTGTACCTGGGGGTCTTGAAGGCCCCCCTGGCCTGCGCTCGGGCTCCCTCCCCGCCTGGACGCGCGAGGAGTGGGGCGCGACAGCGGTCGAGTTCGTGGAGTGGCTCTTCGACCAGGGGCGGCGCTGCTGCGACGGCCAAACGGTTGGGCTCGGCGCTCGCGGGGGGCGATCCGAAGCTCGGCGCGGGCCCCCTGCGCCTGTGGCTCCCCGTGCTGCAGCAGTCGCTGAGCGGCTGGGTGCAGCAGCGCCCAGAGCTCTCGCGCCCGCCCTTGCCGTGGCTGGTGGCAGCTGCCGCGGCGCCCTGGCTGCTCGAGCAGGGGCTGGAGGTCGCGGCGTTGGGCGTGATGATCATGTTCGAGACGCACATGCGCCCCTTCGGAGATGCTGGCAACCGACGCCGACCATGTCGCGCTACCGCTGGAGGGCGAGCCTGGAGCGGCCCGCCGGATAACCTTTGTGATCAGGGCCCAGGAGGGGTTGGTGCCAACCAAGACCAACGCCTTCGACGTGAGCGCCCTGCTGGTCTTGTTGAGACAGCGCTGGCTTGCCCGCTGCGTGGGGGCGCTGGTGCGGCGCCGCGGCCCGGGGAAGCGCCTTCTCGAGGTCGAGTGCGTGGCCTTCCAGAGGAGCTTCAGGACAGCCTTGAACGCCGTTGGAGCCTGGGAATTGCTGGCCACGCTCTACTGCCCCCGCCATGGAGGCGCCGGCCACGACCGCAGCATGGCCGCCAGAACCTTGGAGGGCGTCCAACAGAGGGGCGGGTGGCGCGCCTTCAAAAGCGTCGCCCGATACGAGAGGCACGGGAGAGCCAGTCTAGAGTTGCAGAAGCTCGGCGAGGCGCGCGTGCGCCAGTTGCGCCGGCGCGCGGCTGGCATTGTGCGCGCCTTCAAGAAGTGCTTCGCGCAGCGCTGCGGGCCTCCCACGGACGGTAGTCACAAGTGGTGATCGAGATATTCTCGGGAACTGGCGAGCTTAGCCGCCATCTCCGAGCCCGAAGTGAAGCCGTGCTAGAATGGGAGGAGAAATCGAGAATGCTCCAATCTGCTAATTCCTGCGGTATGGCATGCGCTTCGTGGATGGATAACTAGTCAAAGAGTAAAGGCTGCGTGGTTGGGGACCCCATGTGAAGGCTATTGAAGAGCCCGCCGTGCCCCTTTATACAGTAGGATGCCGCACGCAATCTGATCCCCTGAGCATTCCATGGGTCTGCCTGGGTTTTCTGAAAATGATCAACGTCTTCTCCTTGGTCCCAACCGTCTTGGGACTATTGGGAGGATGACCCAAAGTCTGTGTATTGCTAGGGGGATCCCTGGCGGGGAAGAGGATCCTTGGCAGAGTTTTCTGTGGCTGCGCCCCGACCGCCAAGCTTTGTGGAATTCTGCGTTTCTCACCGAGCGCGCTGTGGATTTCCGTGCCTGCGGTCGGCCTTTTCGAGGGCGCACGCGCAGAAGATTCTGGCGTTGCAAACCTGCCACGCTGCGCCGCCAGGGGCGCGGCACTTGCCAGTGCACTAACATACCCCATGTCGAGCTCGCTGGCAAACAGCAGGGCAAATTTCTGACTAAGTTGAAGAACGAAATGCAACCCTCAGGATTTGGGGTGATGTTTGGGTCGCTTGGGGGCGCCGCCGTTCGGTCCCGTTGGTGTGCGGCTCAAGCGGGGTTTCCTGTTGCTTCGTTTCGCTCGCACATCGGAGGCCTGGGGCATGCCTTTGAGCAGCGACGAGGCGGCGTCGCCCCCGGGCCTTTGGCTCGGCACCCGAGTTTTCCAGGTTGCGAGCCAGAGGCCGCGCACCTTTCGCGGCTCCAGCTGCCGCCGCTCAGATGGCCCTCCCTGTTGGGCAGTGCTTTCGGCATCTGGTGGCCCATCCCGATGGGTCGGACGGCGGCCCGATCTTGGGCGTCGTGCGGCGGCAGCTGTCGGACAATGTTGGTGGCGCAGCGTACGGGGTCGAGTACTTCGGAGCAGCCGAGGAGCATTTAACGTGGTGGTTGGGCGCTTGCAGAGAGCGGGGCGACAAGTTCTGCCTGCGTGCGCGCAAGGGCCCGCTGTCAACCTGCGCGCGCTGCCCACCGAGGCCCGACATGCAGGTCTTGCGCGCGAGAGCCCCCCGTACGTTGACGGCGGCACAGGCGGCCGACTACCGCGTGGAGATGCCGCAGGAGAACGTGGAGCGCCCTGGCATACCACGCGACGTGGCTCGAGCTGCTCTCGCGGAGGCTGATGCACCTTCTGCAGACAAGCCCGCTGCTGGAGGAGGAGGCCCCCTGCCTGCCCTGCGCAAGCGGCCCGCGGCGGCCGGCGGGGAGTCCGCAGTCGTTGAGGTTGAAGCGGACGACGAGGACGCTGACGAGGCCTACGAGGAGCTGGAGCGTGAGTTGCAGGCGCTTCAGGGCAAGGCCGAGGCGGCTGGCCCGGGGGCGAAGGACGGCTGCCGCGCGCGCCTGGGCGAGCTGAGGACGCGGCTGGAGGAGTCCAGGAAGCGCGGAGCCCCTGCGGCCACGGCCGCCAGCGCTGCCGCTGCGCCGGCCAGCAAGGCTGCTGTCAGGAAGAAGCTGAAGCTGGGCGAGGTAATTCAGAGTCGGATCACGGGAGCAGATCCCCGCCCAGCTGGGGAGGATAGTGGCTCAGCTGGGCCCGCAGCGGCTTCCTCAGACGAGAAAGAGGTCTTGCGCGTGCTGGCGGGCTACCTTCGCAAGGAGGACAGCGGGGGCTCCCTCGAGAGCGACATGGAGCAGGTCGTTGGAGATGGGCCCATGACTGCTCGCCGCCTCGCCTACAAGAGGATCGCGGAGAAGAGCCCAGGCCGCCTCGCCGAGAAGGAGATGGATAATCTGGCTCAGTACTTGGTGGACATCGACGAGGACGAGGGCCCTGGTCAGGTGCGAGCGGTGGCCGCGAAGTTCCCGTTGCGCGCCCTGCGACCTGCTCACCCGATCAGGGATATCGGCGAGGACAGGCACTTGGAGCTGCGGACGCTGCGTGAGTGTGCCGACCTCATCGTCGAAGGTAAGCCCTTGCATGCCTTGGACTACGTCTGTTGCAGAATCAAGGATTTGCAGAAGTGGACCCGCGAAGGCCACTCGAGGACTACGAAGCGGTTCGAGCTGATCCCTCCCGACAGCGGCGGTTTCAGTTTGTCGGTTGAGGACGAGGAGGTGGTCATGGGCATAGAGGCGGCGGAGGTGAAGATGGCTCAGCTGCTGAGCCGTTCGGGGTCTCGCGGCTAGGACGTCGGCCGGGATGGAGGCGCGGGCTCGCCTGCCTACCCCGATGGCCAGAGCCGCGGCGGTAGCCCGGACCCAAGAGCCTTGCCGATCACTGATATCGGCACGCAGCGGCGCTTCGAGATCGAGCTGGTCTGCGACCCCCTGCAGGGCGCCAGCCAGCTGCCCAGCGGGCAGCCGCCGCGAAGGCGCCAGGGCGTGCCTTGCCTGCGCTGTCAGACCGCCAGGGCCTCCAGGCGGTGGACGGATCGCCCTTGTCAGCGCGGGCGTCGGCTCGAGCCAACACGCCTGGGGCCGAGGGGGAGTCGAAGAAGCAGCTGAAGACGAGGGTCGCGCGGGAGTTCTTCAAGAGACGAGCTGGCCCGAAGAATGCGCCTCAGAAGGGCGGCCCAGCGCAGCGGGTCGTCCGACTTGTGGACTGAGCGGAGGGGCGGCGGCCGTCGGCGATGTTCAGGCCGCGCCGACGATGAGCCAGTGGAAGGCTGGCGCCGCCTCCCGCCTGTGCCGATCCCGCAGCAGCCGGATGGCGGTGATGGAAATCGGCTTCGGGATCCTCGCTCACTTGAGAAGGCTGCCGAGTAAGATTGGAGATTTTATGAGACTGTGCCCTAGAGGCGACGCGCCACAATCGCCGGAGGCTGGCGTGGGGCGAGATGTGCTACCACTGCCAGTAAGGGAGCCGGCACCTTTACTAGCTTGGGAACGTATGACGATAGCGAAGGGTTTGCTGAGTGGCGAGGGACCCCTTGTCAATTTGGCGTCGTGGACAGAGTGCAGAGTCAGGGGGCCCAGGATATGACGACCCAGGTGAGGGTTTTCCTCAGCATCATGGGCCTTGCTTCCTCCCACCTGAGCAAAGACCGCTGGGAGGCTGCAGGGGTCTGCTCACAGGTGCAGCTCGCCAGCCTACGTGTGATCGGTGAGACGGTCGAGTGTCGCGTCGGGCGCGCGCTAGAGGAGGTTGAGATGCCCTATTGGCCGCGGGACTTGATGAAGAGCAGAACCAGCTACTACCTAGATGAGGACTGCCGAGTTCTGCCGCTCAACTTGGGAGAGCTGGAGCCAGGTTTACCCAGGGCGGATGATATTGGCCGCCTGGACGTCCTCGAGTATGTCGGGGCCGACCTGAAGGAGCTGTTGACCAAACCCGAGCTCTCCTTGCCGCCCGAGGCGGAGTGGCCGTCTACGCCCCCGAGGGCGAAGGTCAACGTCGAGCGCGTCGAGGACTGGTGGTTCATCGCCGTGAAGCTGGTGGGGCTGGGACTGTTGAAGCCCACCGCTGCCGAGCTGATTTTCCAGGCTCAGGACAAGCGGGTGACCAACGGGCTCTTCGCAGCCACGAAGAGTGGCAGTCCAGGCCCAGGGGCTGCGAGGGTGACAAGGTTGATATTCAACATGGCGCCCACCAACGCGCACCTGCGCCCGCTGGTCGGCGATTCGGCTATAGCCCCTTCGCCTGCATGGGTCAGCATATCGCCGCAGCCCGGCGAGCTGTTGCTTTGGAGCGGGGACAACCAGAAGGGCGCTTTCTTCATGCGCAGGACTCCGGAGCCTTGGCCGGGCTACATGGCGGTGCGCACCCCGGCCCTGGGCCGCACCACGACGGGGGTCTGGCTTGCGATGGCGGTGCTGCCCATGGGCTGGGTGTACAGTGTGCCCATCTTCCAGAGTACCCATCGACGATTCGCTCTGTTGAAAGAGCCTGCAGGCGCTGAGTTGCCGCCCTCCCGTGAATGGAGGAGGGGCTGCCCGGTTCCCGCGGCGGCGGCGGCTCCCCTGGCGAGCGATGGCGACCGCGCCTGGTGGAGCACTTATATTGACGATTTCGACATTAGGGAGATGCTCAACTGGGGTGCCGCGCTTCCCTTGGTCGGGACCCCTGGCCGCCTCCAGGAGCAGATGAGGAAGAGCTACGAGAGGAACGGCTTCCCCATCAGCGTCAACAAGGCTAACCAGCGGCAGGTCCTCGTCACTCGCATGGGCGTGGGCGTCGATGGAGTTGCAGGCAGGGCGGCAAACAACCGAGTGAAGAACGCGCAGCTGCATGGTCTCCCCCTGTGGCTCCTGGCGCGGAAGAACCCCCTGGGGAACCAGCTTATGATCCTTGTGGGCCGCTGGGCGCGAGCCCTGGAGTTCAGGCGGCCTCTCTTTGGAGTTTTCAATGCTGTCTGGCAGCTGGTCGCCTCAGGACGCACCGCGCTGCCGAGGGACTGCGTTGACGAGCTGGTGCGCACTTGCATGCTGCTGCCCTTGGCGTCTGCGAACTTGAGGGCGAGAACCACCAGCATCGTCTCATGCTCGGATGCCAGCGAGGATGGTGTTTGGACGCGTACTGCAGTTAGGCTGGCGGAGGGGGCCGAAACGTTCTTGGCCAGCCTCGGGGGGCCCGAGACTTGGGGCCATCGCATCGCCGGGCACTCTGGCAAGTGCGTCGTGGAGGTGCCGCCCGAGCTCAGCGCCGCTGCCAAGGAGGAGCCGCGCGTGCTGCTGCTGAGCCTGTTCGACGGGATAGGCGGCTCGGCGGTCTCGCTGGTTCGAGCGGGGTTCACCATCGGCGGCTACATGAGCAGTGAAGTTGACAAAGGAGCCAGACGTGTACTACGATCGCGCTGGCCAGGACTGATCGAGCTGGGACCCGTGGAAGATACCCAGGCGAAGCAGCTCGAGGCCTTGACTTTGTTCCAGGGTCGCATCGTGGCTGTAATTGTCGCTGGAGGC